GGTTGGACTAGATGGCCCATGTGGTCTCTTCCAAATTTTATTATTCTATGATCCTATGATTCCTCTCAACAATCTTCCCAATGGTTTCACTGTATGGGTGATTAGACTAAAGGTCTGGAACTGGTCTGAAGCCAGGTGTGTGAGCATGGCATTAACCATGGAATCTGGTCTCAAACCACTTTGCAGGAATTGTCTTTTCCCATTTTCAGGAGACACATAGGGTGAAGAAAAAAAAGGGAAAGTGACAGAGCACATTAGCAGCATACATTTTGTGGCTAGTACAGTTTTGAATCTTCTTGAAGCAGCATTACAGTGTCAGTGTAGATGGGAACAATGACATCGAAAAGCAGGAGTCCTGTCACAATTCTTCATCACAGCCTTGTTTGCTGGTAGAATGGAGCTGGAAACATCCTTTTCCTACATCCTACTGAGTTTGGGCCATGAATTGTTAATTTCAAATGTGTAACTAAGTAGTGAAATGTCTTTCAAAAAAATGTAGCACCTTCCTCTTTTATTCCACAAATGGAAAATATCTTGATTATTTGTATGCATTTTTTAAATTCTTTTCAAATGCATTAAAGGGCAGAATTATAATTATGTTTGCTATTTATAAGTGAACAGATCGATTCTTGATTGATTGATTGATCTGATTTGTTTTCTACCTTTGCGGGACTCAGAGCAACTCACAACATAAGTTAAAACAAAACAGCTAATCAATGTGTGGTGCAAAAGTTATATAACCATTAAATCATCAATCCAATTAAAATACTACATATGAAATATGTATTACATATTTAAAAGTGCACCTAACTGTAGTTTATAAAATGCCATACTAAATTGAAATCTCCCCAAATTGAGTATTTCCAATGTAATTATTACTTATTATTTACCTACAATCCTATTTAGATACATATCATCCTGCATTTAGTTCTGAAAGAAGAAAAGGCATGGGGAAAAGTTCTCTTCCTTAGTACCATAAGAGTAAATAATTTTCCTTCAAGATATTAAAATTGCTCTTCTTCTTTTTCTCTGAAGAGCTATAAATTTATCCTGAAAATCAATAGAAAACTTAATTAGGGGGAAAAATTGGAATGTGGGTGAAGTAGCAGCTGTTATGTTGACATCAAAGCTCAGCACATACACTTCAAAGGTGTGTAAAAATGAGTTCAGATATGAGCCTGTTAGGTGATATTAGACATGATTTGTGCTTTTCCGATCCCATTTTGGCAGGCAACAGAGATTTGAACACAAAATAACACCTGCAAATTCACCATCTACTAGAGGGGAATTAAAAATTACCACTTACGCATGAACAGATTGATCAGTATTAGAGAGGGGATAAAGTTTAAATGTGATTCTAATGCAGCTTTCTCTCCTTCTTATGCTAAAATGACTCAACTGGCACTCTGTCCACCCAACTAAACATTTTATAGGATAACTCAGAGGAATTTTGATGGTATCCAATTAACACCTGGAATATCTATCTGATGTAAAGCCAGTGTTTGTCTAATAACCAGCTTAGATTCTCTTCTTGGTTGCTCCATTTATCTTCTTGTGTGGTTCTGGCCAAAATCACTTCATCTCACTTTAGGTCTTTGTCGGGTATCTTTATATGCTTCCAAACTATTTGTTCTGTTTCTTCTCTGATGTAGAGGCTGTTTATTACCAATTATTTTTTTATGTTTATTGTAAAGGCATTCCCAGTTATAGCATATGTTTCAATAACAAATTAATGGCTTTTGTCCAGAAACTCCTATAAAACAACAGGCTGTATGTCAAACAACAGTTAATGTCTTCTCACCGATGGTAGGCATGGCCAACTTTGATCATCCAAGGGGTTTAAGGAGAAAGAAGATGAGCCACCTGAATCAAATTTTCCTTCCTTCTTAAATTAGGTGATTCATCAAATCAAGAATGATGAATTTTTCAGATGCATATGTATGGTTCTCATGTATAATGAAACACATGTGGACAGTTGTTGGTATTGTAATAGGAGAATTTAACATAAATAATATGATGTTGTAAACATCATATACAACAAACAAACCACTTCCCCTCTAAATAATTATGTTTAGGAAGTCAGGACTCTCTTCGAAAGGCTCTAATTCATTTCCTCCCTATATTGTTTTCTCTTTCCACTGAATCAAGAATTGTTGAAAAAACATGCTCAGATCTCATAACACTGTTTTAAACCCTTCTCATATCTGTTTACTTCTTCTTCTTAAAGATTCCTGCTACATTGCTGGATGTCTCACTTTCTTCATTATATGGATACAACCCTCCTGCTTATATCTATGGTATCCTTTTGGTTTTCCTAATGTATCTCCCTCTATGATCCACCTTGAAGGCTAAGATCATCACGGGAGGCCCTGTTCTCAGTCCTGCCACCCTCGCAAGTGCGACATGTGGGGACAAGAGACAAGGCCTTATCAGTAGTGGCCCTCCATCTATGGAACTTAGATCATCCCCCTCTCTCCTGTCCTTCCAACCCCCCCCCCCCAAAAAAAAACACCTTGGCTCTAGGTTCAGGCTTTTGGTCAATAACGGGAGCAATATGAACTGGATTATGTGATTTTAATTGTTGTTTTAATGTTATGTTTTAATTGGATGGTTTTAATATTTTTGTTTATTCATTGATGTATGTATACATGTGGCATTGAATTGTTGCCTTTGTAAGTCTGTCCTGAATACCCTTCAGGGTTGAGAAAGGCAGGATACAAATATGATAAATAAATTACTGTATATACTTAGCTTAGTTTTTCAGCCCTTGGCTTATACTCGGGTGAGGATTATGGCGGGAAAGTATGGGACTGAAAGAAGGGCTTCTTTCAGTCCCACACCTTCCTGCCAGGACCCTCACCTCCCCACACAGCAACTCAGCTCTCCTTCCTCTCCTCCTCTCTCACACAGGTTGTACCTTCCTCTCCTCCTTCCTTGGAACCAGTCTTTCCCACTTTTCCTTATTCATATGCACACAACATTTCCCCCAAGATGTATAGTTAAAATAAAGTATGGTTATTATTGGAAGGATGCATAAGAATATTTATATTGAAGAAGGTTAGAGTAATGATTTAATCAGAGTTGGACCATCTTATCTTAAATTCCAATTTTATATAAATATTCAAAAACATTTTGAAATTCATCAGTAGCTGCTGCATTTCCCACCCTTGGCTTATACTCGAGTCAACATGTTTTCCCAGTTTTTTGTGGTAAAATTAGATACCTCAATTTATATTCAGGTCAGCTTATACTCGAGTATATACAGTATTTGTATTCATACTTGGTAAGTGAGTCTATAATTAGTTTATAGTTCCATTTAGTCTTTATTTATGCAAGTCTAGTGAATATAGGCTTCTTAACTGCAGTTCCACCTTTTCTATTGTCATTTCTATTACCCTTTATAAAGAGACTGGAAAACCACAGGTAGGAGGGCAAAAGTGTTAGAATGAAAGATTATGGGGATTGTGCATTTCCTCCTTTATGTGCTTAATGGACAGAACTTGAATGCCATTGAATAGGGTTCATAGAAATATTTAGCATGGACTTCCGGTGGGAATAGCGACAGGGAAGCCTTGCTGAGGGAAAGCTCTCTCAGGGAGGACCTGTTTTGAGTGGCGAGGTCGAGCTATAGCTCCCCACCTTTGACTGGATCGAAGGCGAAGGTGATCGTAAATCCCCTGGGTGCCTTGAAGACCCCAAGCCCCCCCCCCTATTAAGGGGAGATTGAAGGATCTGAGAGCACCAAAAGGGGAGCAGGCTGCTCTACAGGATCGTGCTCGGCTGAGCTCATCCAACCGCCTCCACCCCAGAATTGTAAGAATTGTAAAGAAGAATGAACCCCCACATTAGGGGGCTAAAGGGACTGTGTCCCTGAAAGAAGAAATTTCATCTTCAAGGTAATATAAGAGGGGGGAGGGACCTACCCCCCGGAATCTAGGCAAAGAAGGATTAAATCAAGTACTTTTATAAGGAGAAGAGAAGAAGATAGTAAAGGAGAGAATCTATAATAAGAAGAGTGTTTTTATAAGTTGATTTTAAATTGGATGAACTTTAAAGTCTAAAGGATTTGGTATAAGTATTTTTAAAAGTATCAAAGAAAATAGAACTTTATAAATATCGGGACCCTTGTACTCTCCTCTAAACATTAGGCTACACCCCCGCACTGCTATCTAAATTAGGGACTTTAATAGGAACTATAAGAAATTGAATTAGCTTACAGTGTGAGGAGAAACGACCTTGGCTCCATTGTTGTTTGGTCTACGCTGGCCTTCTTTACAAACAATTGAAGAAAAGCAAGATAGGAACTGACGAAACGGAAGGCTGCTGTGGAGCAACACAGGAAGAAGAGAGCAGTGCAGACTGGGAGTGGTAGTCCAAAGGTCCAAAAAGGTTTTAAAGGGCAGAGAAGAGCATAAGAGCACAAGGGCAGAAGTGAAGAAGATAGCAAAGGAAAGAAGGGCGGAAGAGGCAAACGGAGGCAGGTAGAGGTCTAATAATTAAAACACAGATCATTCTCTGAGGGCAATAAAGGAGGAATTTAAAGAATAAAGATGAGGAAGAGAAGCAGACGGGCGATGGACGAGGAGGAGAAGTAGATGATCGATGGACGAGGACGAGAAGCAGACACAAAATAAAACCAGGCCGAGAAGCAGACGATAATAAAATTAATAAAATTAATTAGAGGCATTTAAAATCTTTTAAAGTATACTCAGATCTTACCCCAAAGTTGATTGATGAATTAATTGAAGGGAAATTAATGAATAATTGATCAATTGATTAATGGATGGGAGGAAAATAATTAAATTGTTTTCAAATTAATTGATTAATTTTAAAATAATTGATTAACTGAATAATTGATTATATATATATATATATATATAAATTTTGAATGAACTGGAATTTAATTAAGAATAAAATAAAAATCTATTCATATAGAAATTACAACAATAAGCTAAACAAGTTATAAGCAATTACAAGCAGTTAAAGGAAGTGAATTGGCTTTTAAATGTCAACAAAGGGGAAAGCAGAGAAAGAAAAGGATAAGGAATTACAGACACAGACACAGCTGAGAAGAGGATCTTTAGATAGAGGGGTGAATATGGAGAATATTCTAAAGGAGATTAAGAAGCTTTCTGAAAAACAAGATGCCATGAAGAAGGATATGACAGACAAACAAGAAGAATACTACAAAAAACAAGAAGAACATTACAAGAAATTAGATAAGGATCTTAAAGATATGAAAAAAGAAATGAAGGAAGAGTTTGGAGAGTTGAAGAAAGAACTAAACAATCTGGCAGGCGAGGTGGAAGTTTTAAAAGCGGGAAAAATTGAAACAGATGAGACACAGGCAAAAATTATGAAGAAAATTAAGTCACTGGAGAAACAAAAAGAAAGAATGGAATTAGAACAAGAAAAATTACTACAAAAACAAATGGATTATCAATTAAGGCTAAGAAATATGCAAGAAGATTCAAAGGAAGACATAAGGTCAACAGTGTTAAATCTCCTGGCCAGGGTCTTGGAGGTGGAGGAGGATGAGCTTGAGCAAGAGGTGGATCAAATATACTGAGTCTCCTCATTCTACTCTAGGAAACACAAAACACCAAGAGACGTGATAGTCCAATTCACAAAGAAGAAATTACGGGATGAGATATTGTGGAAGACAAATAAAGATCCATTACAATATAAAGGAGTGAAAATTCCAGTTCTTAAAGAATATCCACAAATGACACTTAACAGAAGGAAGAAATACTACTTTCTAACAGACTAATTGAAGAAGAGAGGAATCAGATATAGATGGGAGAGACACGAGGGTATAATGGTGACATATAAGGAGGAGCATTACTGGTTAACAACGGAAGAGAAAGCAAAAGTCTTCTACGATAAATTGATGAGAGAAGAGGAGGAAGGAGGCAATGGAGAAAAAAGTGAGAAGGGGGAGAAAGGAGAGAAGAAACAATCATCACCGAGAAATGGAAATGGAAATAGAAGTAAGAAGGCAAGATATGTCTCACCAGAAGAATATAAATTACTGTCATCTAGAGAAAGAAAATTTGCGGCAATTAGTTAATCGGAAAGAGATTTAGCTGGAATTGAGGCAACGGCAACAGCGATTTCGGAAATGGATCTTGGCGTAGGCGGTTTGGACTTAGATAATAATGAGTAGCATGATGGAGCGGCAAATAAAATGTTTTTCGAACAACATTAATGGCTTGAACTCACCCCAGAAAAGGAAAAAAATCTTTAACAAGTTGAAAAGGCAGAAATACGACATAATAGCTCTCCAGGAAACACATATATGTCATAAGCATATATCCCATCTCACTGAGAAAAAATTAGGGAAAATGTATCACTCTTCATTTGAAAAGAAAAAACAAGGAGTAGTATTATATATAAAAGATAACTTGGTATCGGAATTACTATTCAAGGATCAAGAAGGCAGATGCCTCGCAGTTAAAATTCTTATTGGAAACACAAAACTATTGCTATGTAATATATATGCACCAAATGGACCTAAGTCATCCTTTGTTGAATTTTTGAAAAAAAACCTGGAACAGGCTGAGTATGATGAACTTTTATTGCTTGGAGACTTTAATGGAGTGCTGCAACCTCAATTGGATAAGACAAAAGTAAAGAAAAAGGGGGGAGTAGAAACAAGTACCCTACCCCAAAAAATTTTGGACTTAAAAAAGAGCTGGACTTGGAAGATATTTGGAGGATAAGAAATGAGGAAAAGAAGGATTATACATTTTATTCTCACAGGCACCAGTCTTGGTCAAGAACTGACATGATATGGATTACAAAAAAATTAATGACAAAAGTGCAGGATGCTCTCATCCTCCCTAGAGATCTATCGGACCATTGCCCAATGGAGTTAATTATATTTCAAAGAGAGGGAGTTAGAAGATGGAGACTGAATGAAAACCTGATAAAAACAGAAGTGGATAGATCTAATTACAAAAGAATAATTCAAAATTACTTGGAAATTAATGATACGAAGCTGACAAATGCACAAATAACATGGGATGCAATGAAAGCAGTCCTGAGAGGACATTTTATTCAACATAACTCCAAAAAGAATAGGGAAAGGAATAAAGAAATTAAAGACTTAACAAATGATATAATGAATATGGAGAAGGAATTTAAAAAGATGCCTGAGAAGGCACAACTGGAAAAGAAACTGAAGATATTAAAACAAAAGAAGAATCATTTGGAATTTGAATTTCAAGCTAATCAAATTAAATTTTTGAAACAACAAATGTTTGAAAATGTGAATAAACCTGGAAAATGGCTAGCCAGACAAGTGCGAAAAAAACAACAATCTAGACAAATCATGAAGATTAAAGTGGAAAATAAAATCATCTCAACAGATAAAAAAATAATGGAGGAGTTCAGGAAATATTACAAACAATTATACTCAAAAGATTGTACAGATAAAGAAGAAATAATGGCCTATATAAATACATTTAAGTTTCAGAAAGTGGATGAGGAAACAAGGGATCAATTGAATAAAGAGATATCAGAGGAGGAAATTGAGAAGGCAATTCAAAAGATGGACCCAGACAAAGCTCCGGGTCCAGATGGATATACAGCTGGATTTTATAGAACATTTAAACAAGAATTGATACCTTTATTTAAAAAGGTATTAAATGAAGGGATGACTGAACAGAAAATTCCGGAAACTTGGATGAAGGCAGAAATAGTACTGATTCGTAAAGAAGGAACCTGTGAGACGGAGATTAAAAATTACAAACCAATTTCTTTATTAAATACGGACTATAAGATTTTGGCGAACATATTGGCAGAGAGAGTAAAAAAATTCTTAAGAAACTGGATTGAAAAAGACCAAACAGGATTTCTACCAAATAGATTTATGAAGGATAACATAAGGCTAGTATTGGATCTAATAGAATATTATGAACAGAATCATCAAAAAGAATATGCCATACTAGCCTTGGACGCAGAGAAGGCTTTTGATAACCTAAACTGGGATTTCTTTAAGATATTAATACAAGAACTGGACATGGGAGATAAATTTACTAATGCAATAAAAGCGCTATATGATTTACAAAAGGCTAAATTAAGAATAAATGGTCAAACGACGGAAGAGTTTGATATACTGAAGGGAACTAGACAGGGATGTCCCCTGTCCCCACTTATATTTATAATGGCATTAGAACCATTAATGAAGGCAATAAGAGAAGACCAAATGATACAGGGATCCAAAGTTGGCAAATATGAATACAAAATAAGAGCCTTTGCGGACGATGTACTTGGGATAATGGAAGAACCAAGTAAAAATATATTAAGATGGATGCAGAAGATAAAAGAGTTTGGGTCAGTTGCAGGATTTAAAATCAATATGTCAAAAACAAAGTTATTAACGAAAAATGTAGAAAAGAAAAAACAAGATATGATTAAAGAGCAAGCAGCTCTGGAAATAGTCAAGAAATTTAAATATTTAGGAGTATGGATCATGACAAAAAATGGACAATTACTAAAGAATAACTATGAAGAAGTCTTGAAAAAAATACAAAAGGACTTACAAAAGTGGGTACATCTGAAGTTGTCACTTTTAGGCTGTATATCTTTGATTAAGATGAATGTATTACCAAAATTGATGTTCCTTTTTCAAAACCTCCCAATAATTAGAAGCCAAACGCTTTTTATAAAATGGAAAAAAGAAATATTGAAATTTATATGGGCCGGAGGAAGACCAAGAATAAAGTATGATAATTTGATTGTTAAGAAGAATAGAGGAGGTCTGGGCCTCCCAGATTTTAAAGCATATCATGACGCATGTGCGTTGATATGGATAAAGGACTGGATATTGTTGAACAAAGAAGACTTTTTAAATATAGAAGGAAATGACTTAAGAGTAGGATGGCATGCTTATTTATGGTACGAAAGGGAAAAGAAAGAAAAGAGTTTTGGTAACCACTTTGTGAGAGCATCCCTATTAAGAGTATGGCAAAAATATAAAAGACATTTTTATTCTAAAACACCTTTATGGGTCTCTCCTATGGAGGCAAATCAGCGAAGACTTTTAGGATGGAGAAAATGGCCAACCTACAAAGATTTGTTAAATAAAGATACAAACAATGTTAAGACTTATGAGGAATTAAAACAAAAATTTTCTAATATTACTTGGTTACATTATATGCAAATTAAAGAATATTACAATCAAGATAAAAAAAATTGGCTTCTCTTGGGAGGAAACAGCATGGGATAAAATTTTAAAATTAGAAAAGAAAGTAATATCGAATATTTATAACATATTACTTACCTGACTGACTGAAAAAGAACAGGTTAAAAACTGTATGATAAAGTGGGCTCAAAATTTAAGAAGACCAATTCAAATGAGGGAGTGGGAACAGATGTGGAACAAAAAATTAAAATATACATACACAATGGATTTAAAAGAAAATTGGATAAAAATGTTCCACAGATGGTATACCACACCGAAACAATTGGCTAAAATGTATAAAACAGTTTCTGATAAGTGCCTGGAACAGGTTGGCTCCTTCTACCATATGTGGTGGAATTGCAAAGAAGCAGTAAAGTTTTGGAGGGTAATTCATGAAGAGACACAAAAGATTTTAAAAAGAACATTCATAAGAAAACCGGAGTATTATTTGTTAGGTTTTACAGATTTAGATCTACAACTGACGGAACAAGAGGATAAACTTTTTACATATATGACGACTGCCGCTAGAATTGTTTTTGCTAGAGAATGGAAGAAAGACTCAGTCCCACCCATACAGGAATGGGTGGAAAAAATCAGAGAAATAAAGGACATGGATGAATTGACTTTTTTGTTGAAGAAAAATACAGGTATGATACTAAGAAGAACGAATTGGGATAATCTCCATGAATATCTGGACAATTTGGGAAAATAAGAAACAAGAGAGACAATTTCTTTTTGAACTTATTTTATATTTTTGAATAATAAGAAGATATGATCCAAGAAGATGGAATGGAAGTCATTTTTTTTTGTTTTTCTTTTTTTTGTGTATTTTTGTAGATTTTTTTAAAGGGGTTATTTGGGATTTTAGTATACCTTTTTGTTTCTTCTTTTTTCTCTTTTTTTCTTCATTTCCTCACTTTCCTATACTTTATTGTTCTCACTCTTTTGTTGTAATCTATATAAAAATTAATACAATTCTAATTTAAATAAATAAATAAAAAGAAATATTTAGCATTAGAATAGTATATAGTTTGATTTATAATATTGATTAAGAAAAAGCATGGGGAAATGTGGCTCTCTAGATTTTATCGGACTACAACTCCCATCATCCTTACCATTCAACATACTATTTAGGGTGGGTGGTAGTTCCTGACCAACAACATGGGATGCATGTATTTCACCTATCTTACAGAATGTTTACATTTATCATGTTTCACCATGTATACATGTGAAAATTCACCATAATTTGGCTTATAAAGCAGGGAAGATGACTTAAATAAATTTGCACATATAGAATCTCTATTCCATATAGGACAAACAAATCTACCACAGCTGTATCACACAACAAAATCAAATTATTTAGGAAACTAGAAGATTTGCTTATATGAAAAACATTTTGAAATTCATCAGTAGCTGCTGCAAAAAAACGCACTAATGAAAATGCAGAAACAGCTATTTTAATGAAAGCATAAACCATTGTTTTAACA